ACTAGTGAAACAACACGCAGAGATGTCACTGTTTGTAAAACACGTTGCCGATAAACAACATTTCCCTGTTTTTCTCTGACGCTACGGTAGACATTGCCATGCCTAGTCCCTGTACGGCGTCTTCCCACGCAATCTCGGTCAAGGCATTTCGGTGGCGAACTCGCTCGGACCACGTGACCCGAAACGCATTAGCCGCGCGGAATAATGCAGCCTATGGACAAGGCAACGGCAGACAGTCGTTCCGTACAGTCCTTCGCTATCATTAAAAACACTGGACACGGGAATTTTTTTATTGACCGTTTTCACACTAGAGCTAGAAATGGATCATCCCTCTGAGACTAGCCTGTGTACAGTCGCGTCCTCCCCACAGACACCCCTTCTCCGATTTTTTTCTGAGAGGAGGGGGCGGCTGTACACAGGCTATCTGCAACGCATAATCCCGTCTTCAAAAGTCAGGTGGATTGTTCATTCAAAATTAAAACTATTTCATTTGCAAATTAAGACGTATTGCCTATCTGACGAGAATCATCAAACGGATAACCTATCTCTCTCGAATGAATCCTTGTCTAGTGTGAAAACGGACATTTCTGTTATAATGAATGTCGCGCCGCGGCCTTGAGTTGGGCGTTCGCGTGTCTGGTTTTGCTTTATCACAAAGATTATTTTTAAATTGACTATTGACATTTTTACGTGTAAAATAATATTAGAAGTGGAATACTTTATAAAAAGTATGATCTATCAAATGTCAAAATGTTTCAAAAGAACAGCTTATTTCATCCCGAGATGATCCAAGGACCTTTATCCCAAAAAAATACAGGTTATTAATATTTAACTTTTTGAAACAAAAGAAGTTAATTTTTAACTTTTCGTTAACCGCAACTGAAAAAACTTAACCGATGGCCGTAAAAGAGCCAAAATTTTAGCCAATAACCGTAAAAGCCACCACCCCATTGAGACCCTCCTTTAGCATTGCCAAAGTCTTTAGTAAAGTCGTCGTCAGCTGTCCTGATGAGTGCGCGGTCGAAAGTTCGAGAACATGGAGTATCCGTACTTTCATAAAAGATTCTAGGGCACGTTTTGTCGTTATAACGAAATTTTTAGGGAGGCCTTGTTCAGTACAGTCTTTTCCAGTGGAACGGAAATCGGTTTGTCCCTTTCTAAAGTGTTGCAACAAAGGGAGGAACAAAATTAACGTCTTTTACGATAATGGGAAGAACGTTCGTATCCGTCGCAAATTTCTTTGACGATACTTCACACTTCATCAGCTCAGTTACATACAAGTGGAACATACGTTAACAAATTTGAAAAATTTCACTGAGGACCGTACACACCGAGGGCCGGGGCTTCACCTGCAAGCGCAGCATTTGAAATAAACAACGAGTCCTTTATTGTTTTCGGGAATTACTTTAATTAACTCTCAAGCACGGTTTCCCCGTCAATTCTACCGTTTATAAAAAATGGTCCGAATGAGCACTGAAGCACATTTCAGTCACTTCAGTATTACGGCGCAATCTGTGTGAAATTCTTCAACAGTAATGGCCACACTTTCCTTTAAGCTTTTGCTAACTATAGCAACGAAACCAGTGACTGTTCGAAGGTCATAATATCCACTCATTCATATACAAGTGGAATGGTAGCAAGTTTATGCTGTTTCAATCCATTCCTACCCGTGGAGGCGATGCGTTGTATCCATTTGTCATTTGCGGTCAGACGTTCATCGCTGCCATTAATCACCACGATGGCGAGAAGAATGTTGAACGGCTTAGCACTACATCAGATATGTGTACAAGTCCACTGGAAACCACTTTATCACATACCGAGAAATNGTGACTGTTCGAAGGTCATAATATCCACTCATTCATATACAAGTGGAATGGTAGCAAGTTTATGCTGTTTCAATCCATTCCTACCCGTGGAGGCGATGCGTTGTATCCATTTGTCATTTGCGGTCAGACGTACATCGCTGCCATTAATCACCACGATGGCGAGAAGAATGCGAACGGCTTAGCACTAATCACGTACCCAGATCTCACTCTGTTTTACACTGAAAAGGGAGATCTGGGTACGAGATTAGCTTAGCACTACATCAGATATGTGTACAAGTCCACTGGAAACCACTTTATCACATACCGAGAAATTTCTACCCAAGCGGCGATGGCTCGATATAACTGTAACAACATCAGATTTCCCAAATCAACTTTATTATCTGTTATTACAGCGAAACCGAAAACAAATAAAGGTTAAACAGCAACATGAAGGGGCACCCAACGACAGTTTTCTGTAAAATAACTGTTCGGAGAAGCAAACTATTGCCTTGAAATTTCTTATACCTGAGGAGGGCTAAGAAGTTCTAGATGACCGTTCCATTCATGTACAATTTTCGAGGCTTATCTTATAAATTCCCTTAGTACGATTTTCTGAAGTTTAACTTTTACATTTCACTTCCCAAATTAGGCTATTCTTCGTACAAAAAACGAAACCTAAAATTTTCGGATTCAAAAATGTGATGGAGAGAGGAATCAAAATATGTCTCACTTTGTGATACGTTAAATTGCTTCAAATTTAAATTTTCGGGAAAATAATACTCAAGCCCATGTGATTTCGAAGAGACTCAAGTTGCCCTAGGATGACAGATACAAATTTCATAGGGCTGCTCAGGATGCCTTTCTAGAGATCTGAAAGTACTCTCGATAGCCTTAAAACTGTTTCCAATGTATTTAGGAGGAAACCGCCTTTGGGTACCCCTGCAGCAAGTTGTTGGTCAGCCCTCCAGGTGGGCCAGTGACTTGCAAGCACCAATAGCTAGGGCGGGTCTACCTGTTTATGCTCTGATTCCCCCCCGTTACGACGAAAACCTAAACAGTATAGTCGGGATGACATATATGAACGCCAAATCCCTTATGTTAGGGGCACATTTTTCTCGAACTAGCACGAGGCTGTTAATTTCAGCACCTAACAAGCCGAAACTTAAATTTCCTGACTTTAACCCCCCCGTTCTATTTTATAACTCTGGGGATAAGGTTGATCTCGTTAACTTTCCAAGTATGATGGGATATTTTTCAATGAAGAAAAGTGATTGATTCATCATAGCAGTCTGTACATGTTTGCTTTTTTGTTTTGTTGTTATTGTTTAAATTTCGGTCCTGTATATATTTCGACTTTTTTGTGCCCGTCTCTTTTTCTTGTTTCAGCGGTGCACGTTATCTTTTTCGCTTGAGTCATTATAATAATGTCCCAAAATATTTAGTTACAAAAGAGAATGTAGCAATAATGGAAAACATAATGAACAAAACGAATCTAAAACATTTACATTGGGTAGTTTTGCAAATTGAAATAAACACCTATTTGACCAATTTTAAGGTTAATTTGATATAATAAATTGATACTGTAAAAACACAGAACCCCCTAATGACAATCATCCAATTCTAAGTTTTAAAATTGAAGTCTCATGCATTTGAACTAATTGATTGATCATCGATTTGAGACAACAAAACTCACAATGTTGTTGAACGTAAAGTGTCCAACTGGTAAACTGGAGTAAAGATGAGAAAACTCTTAATTGTAACAGTATAAATATAAAGTAAAGTAATCGTTTAACATTTAATAAAACTTTATTATAACACTACGACTACCACAGATGCGAGTTCCATGCTAGAACTTCCTGAAAGGGCAAAAAGTTAATAAAATGAAAAATGAGACACGCTCGAAAACAGTCGTTTTCATTTTTCAGACGACCGTAAAAAAAACAAACAAACAAACAAACAAACAAATAAATTTAAAATCAAGGATCTGACATGGTCTTGCCTTTTTTGTTCCTTTAAAAAAACATCCTCGACCTCTTCACGAACTACTTTCTTGGACAAAAATTTAAGAAAATGGACGTAATGTCATGTCTAGTTTCAATGAACGCTCTTAAAAGCACTGGCACTGGCACTGACTGCAAATACTTCCCCCTCCCACCCAAAAAACAATGTTGAAGTCCCTAGCAACATTGACCACCGGGTTTGGGCGAGGAAGGGGCAATAAGCCGTGCCAAATCCGTCGGATTGGCATTCTGTGGGTAAAAAAATGCAAAATTCTTAACTGCACTTTTTGTCCAAGATTGTAGGTTTAATACTTATTCTGATCGAGGTACTCTCTTATGACCAGAACAAGAAATGAAACATTTTAGGTCAAAGTTAAGAGGACCACCTCTGCAGGGTGGACAACTTTGACAGGCCGGGGAGAATTGACACTCGGACAGAAGCTTTCATTTATTTCTCGATTAAAATTTCCGAAAATTTTGGCAAAATGAAAATTAATTTCTCGGTATATGCATGACAACTGAGTGGTTGATGTTGCTCTAATTGTAGTCACACAATGATTTACACGTTTGTCAGGCTTGGACAAATTTTTGGATAAGAGTTACGTTTGTTTTGAGAAGGGCACTGCTGGAACACAGCGTACTAGTGGGGCTACGCGCGTAGGGTGTGTTCAGGTGTTGGCCTTCAACAGAAATTCATCAGAGCAAAAGAAATTGCTTGATGAAAGGCAGGAACCAACACTAGTAATTGCGTCTGCTTTATGAGGTGCCCAGCGTTTATTTAATTTAAGAGCGATATAAATTTTACACTAACTAGATATAAGTAAACACACTAACTTGTGCCACGGTCTATCGCCATCTATTTCAGGGGCACCCAATGACCAAATGTGTCTCAATTGGCTTTTTTATGCTTAAAAAGCCTGTTGGAGCTGCCCTAGAAACTATTTAATATCTGCTTTTATCTCTCAGGTCCATCGGGAATATTTAAATGACTTTTTTTCTCAACCGAATCTGCCCTGATGGGTGCGCGGTCAAAAGTTCGATGATATGGTGTATACGTACTTTCATAAGACGATTGTTAGGTTAGTTTTCGGTGGTAAGAGCGAAATTTTAAGGAGTTCCTCAGTCTTTTTAACAATAATGGCAACATGATATCTTGGTTATAAAATGTGCACCAAAAAGCACTGAAAACCTCATAAAATTTTACATAAGTTAGTCGAAAAACTGGCTCTGAATATCTTTTACGAATGAATGGAATCGCGTTATCTAGAAATTTTGTCTTTTCTCGAGCTTTAGAGATTTCTAGGCAAAATTTGCTTCTTCGACTGGCAGTTATTTTGCAGAGGAAAGTCGCCATTCCCCAGCTGAAACCACCTGATCTGATGCACAACTACAATCCCAGAAGCTTTTCTTTAATTTGTTCTCCGCTGAAGAAAAACTTCCTGGACCAGGATAACGCTAGCCTCCCACGTAGACGTTCCGTGGGAATTGTAAAGTCGTTGATTATTACAGGTTGTTAAATTAAGAGGCAGTCTCCCTAATAGCCTGCGTAGCTGGCGGTATTGTGTGGGTGCGAGATTAAAGTTTTGGCGGTGGAGCCGTGTTCCAAAAAAAGGGAGTAGGGACGAGGCGGTTGAAATACCGCCTGCCAGAAAACCCCGGTATTTTGAAGCTAAAAAGCAGGGAAGTGTCACCCAGTATGCAAGAAAAAAAATGAGAAAAGCCAAAGGAAAACTAATAAAGAAATAAAAGACTGTTGAGACTACAGCTGAGATATGAAACAAAACGGATTGCTGTATTGACGTTTTACATCTAATGCACTCAAAAGAGGATTTGGCACCTGACATATAAGCACTTAATAATTTAAGATACGCAATTTTTAAAACACAAGCCAACGGTGAATACAACACACTAATAACTATAAACCCCACCAGTAAAATAACAAAGCCCACTAGTCCTAATATCACGCCAAAAAACAAAAAAATAAAAATATAAGAAGGCAAAAGACAAAAAGCATTTATAATGGTTCTTTTGAGTCTCTCAGATGACTTGATGTGTCTGACACATGCTGTGCATTTTATAGCAGTTATAGCCCTGGTAATCACATAACTGTGTGTTTCAATTATGCGGATCACAAACCACTTAAAATTTAGCCGCCAGTTTTCTATGTGCCTTCGCATATCTTCTCCCACTGAAGAGGAATGTTCTATACAAACACCCAGACATTCTAATTCCTCAAAAGATTCCTTGTCGATCATAAAGTCCTGAGGACGCAAGAAAAAAACAGCTAGAAATGGAACAACACTTAACAGTACCAAAATAGTGATATCAAGAGACGAATTTAAGTGAAAAAAATGCAATGAAAACAATTGCAATCCGTCTAGAAAAGCGTCATTCTTTTCTGCAGATTCATCGAAAACTCTTCGTTTTATTGTTAAAGCTAATATTATCCTCACATAGAAAAAAAATGGGGCTATAACGATTACAAGTAAAGCCAGCTTGATATTGAAGGGAAACTTAAGATATTGTAAGCACCCAGAATATTTGATAAAAGTTTTTTTCAACAGATTGCAAAAGGTGATTGGACTTGCATCATCCATGTAAACTGACTTTTCTTCTGAAGGGTGTTGGTGATCACCTCCCGTACTGCTGTCTCGCCGATTATGACCACAAACTCCACCTTGTACTTGTCCTTGATTATCACCATCATGCGATTCGCCTTCACTTCTAACTGGACTACTGTTTGTACATGTATGTGTTCTTCCATCATAGCTGTGAACTAAAATTTCAGTTTCAGAAAGGTTTTGATCACCTTCAGTACTGCTGTCTCGCTGGTAATGATCTCGAAATCGTTGGTCCTCGGTCAGTTCTTGTCCTTGATTATTGCTATCAAGCTCATTTTCAAGTACTTTCTCCTCTTGTTTTTCTTTCTCTAGTTCTTCTTGAAGATTAATAATGAAGCCAGGCAGGGCACGGGGAAATCCGGGGAAACACAACATCAAGACTCCTTGCAATATGAGAAGAACCACATTAAATGCCTCGAGCCAGACGGTGGTTCTAGCAGACTGGTTGCAACGAATTTCCACAGAGTTTTTCTCTCTGATACAACAATCGTACTCGAGGTTGTCTTCATGGTACAAAAGCTGAAAATAGGTGTAATATTTAATGACTTGTACACATACAACATCTACTTCACCTACTTTGTGACTGGTTCTTGTGACATTTTTTAAAAGCGCTCTCCCGATCGCTTTGTTTTGACACGACGAGTTCAAAGCTCCGAGGCATCCAGCAGGATTTTCTATCAAAGGCACTGTCATACTTCTTACTTGGTAGTTTAAAAGTCCTAGAGACAATGCATCGTAGTCGTAAGGTAAAGACAACATGGGTTCACTAATGGATCTGGTATAGACCCACCAATCTGGCAAAAACTCGTCTGGGACATTCAGAGGACCATAGCTGTCGTTGCCGATTATTTTCACTTGCAAGTAAACTAATTTTACTCCTTTTTCAGACGCCTTGAGTTGAAATTCAGATGATAAGTCTTCTCCAACCGGAACAAGACTGCACTGATACTCGCTACAGTTCTGTTCGGCGGTAGAAGAAACCAAAAAGCAAAGAAATGGGAACAAAATGGTCTTGAAAGCCATTCTAGTTGAATGAATTCTGCTCTGACCTCTTGCGAAAGCTGATCTGCCGTGGGCCTGAGAACTGCGAATCAGACAAACCTGTCATAGGAAACTGGCAAATTGCAAATGGCTCCGCACTTTTGCAAGGTGTACTTTACGTTACGTAGGGTAACTATTAAAATGGAAGGTAGCTACCCGCAATGACAACTTAATGTTGTCCAGAATGTACAAGGGAAATTTCCCTTCTGTCGTTTCAAACAAAACGGAAACCTATTGAGACAGCATAGCGTTAGGTCATATAACTTTCAACCTTATCAGGTCTTATCATTAAAAGAATGTAAGAAGAATCTTTTGTCTGCACGGAAGGCTAAATTCAATGGGAGTTGTTTGAATTTTCGCCCTACGTACGTAAGGGATCGGAGTCCGGACTTCGGACTCCGGGAACCAAGAAATTGAGAAATCCGGGAGATTTTTGCTTGTGGCCATATAAAGAATCTTTGGCTTTGGAATCCGGAAAACAGCTCAAGGAATCCGGAATCCCACTGACGATAGGAGTCCGGAATCCAGTACCTGGAATCCTGAATCTACCGCGTGAAATCCGGAATCCAATACTGTCTTGGATTAAGTATTTATATGGATTCCCTTACATTTGTCGAGAATTAAAATAACAGAATGCTCGTCAGAGTAAACAAAAAGATTTGAAATATAAGGGTTATTTTCGTCTGTCATTTCGCCCCTGGAACGAGTTTAGGATTTCGAATTTTAGTAAATAACTTCCAAAGAGAAATTAAGACAACGAAGCACGACTCTTCAACGACTTCAACGAAATATTGTTTTTAGCATGCAATCTGCGAACGGAGAGCTGTCGCTTCTCTTCATGGTCACCCGGGTGCGGTCAGTATAAAACACGGACTGCGGACTGCGGACCACGGACTGCGGACCGGGTATAAAATACGGACTAGGTATAAAATGCGGACTTCGGACTGAGTATAAAACACGGACTAGGTATAAAACGCGGACTACGAACTATGTATATAAAAACAGCTTTAGAAGGTAAAACTGAGAGAAAAAGAAAGCGGACTAGCAAAATCAGTAGTCCCAGCTTTAACATTCCCTTGGCTGTTCACGTAGTCTATTCTTCCCACGGAGAAGGAAGGTTATGCCAGTACTCAAGGCAACTGAAATTAAACTCTGACTTTTATAAAAAGAAGTAGTTTGAAGAGATTTCAATTTGCAGTTTTACACCTATAAGAAGCACCGAATTAAAAAAAATAGTATTGGTGTTAGTCAGATCAGTAAAATTCTTATCGGATGCCACAATTCCGTTTCAAATAAAGCCTTGGGAATATGAGGACTGAATAAAGAACTCAGACGAGAAGGTCAATGCGATGCACAAAAGCAGTATTTAGGTGCGAAGGATTACTCACATACGCGAATAGAACCGAAATGAGTCATCCCGTTTTATTTTCGTGTTTTCGCTTTCTCAATTCAGCGGACCCAACTATCTCAGAGCCTTGAACAGGTTCGGTCTAATTAGGCAGAAATTTTGTCATCATTACCAAGTTATAGCGGAAACAAAAAAATTCTCCAAATGCATTTCGAATTCGCACATTTCTATTTCGTTCTTATTCATTTGGAATTGAAACGATAAATACGTCCATTCATGTACGCTCCCGTAGTTCCCTCGAAAACCATACCCGATTCCACACCAAAATGGGCAAAGTGTTTTCAGACCAAAAAGGCCCAAACCCCCTACCCTTAGATTATATAAGGGAGTACCACCCTGATCCTGACCCCTTTCATGATTGTTAGAGACCAAGACAAGGTCTAAAAATGGGTGAAGAAAATAGCATTTTGATCCGGCTCATGATTTAGAGAACCGGGCGGGACACCTCCACCAAGAATTTATAGGAATATTTACAACTTTCAACTCACGTGTCTTGCTATTTAGCGATCTTTTGATCTTATTTTCTCTTACCTGGAACCAATTTGCACGGTTTTTACCAAAGTAGTCCGTAGTCCGTATTTTATACCCAGTCCGCAGTCAGCAGTCCGCGTTTTATACCTTGTCTGTGTTTTATACCCAGTCCGTATTTTCTAGTCCGCGTTTAATACCTAGTCCGTATTTTATACCCAGTCCGCAGTCCGTAGTCCGCAGTCCGCAGTCCATGTTTTATACTGACCGCACCCGGGTGAACGTATTTTCATTGGAAACATACACTTCTAAAACATTTTTGTACCCCGGTTGCCGTTTAACAGCGCTCGCAGCCATGTCGTTAAGTGTTAAATCCTTGAAATCATTTATTTTTGGCGAGGCTTCCTTCGAAAATCACTGTGCTGCGAATGTAAAGTGGATGTAACTGATACCACAAAGGAAAACGGTACTTCATGTTATCGTCTCTTTAATAAATAAAAGGGGATGTTTCAGCGGTTTTCTCATCTTGAGTGACTCTTTGTACCTGAAACGAGAAGTTATGTTGAGAAAGCCGATACATTGAAAGCGAGCCCAGAAATTTTTAATGAGCAAGGGGAAAGTCCCATTTTTGATTTTGTGAGTCAAAGGGATAAATTCCTTAGATGCTGCCAACACAAACAAAATATTGTTTTTCAAGAACTGTCAGGGGATTCTCACTCTCAACTTCTGCTGATGGACAATTGTGTTGTGTGAAAGCTAAAACAGTCTTTCTACATAAGGAGTGAGAGAAATCAACTCTCTGAAACATATTTAAGCCCCGTGTGGAAATTCACAGTTTCGGTTCTTAGAGGCAAAGAGATGAATAAGGTAGAAAATCACCGTTTTTTGAAAGAATACGCGAAGGGGTTTCGTAAGTTGATTCTCTATTGTTTTGTGTCAGAAACTCATCCCTGTCTCCTTGTAGTATCTAAAGACGAATAAAATATCAAATCAAATCGGGAATGACTAAAGGTTAATGTGTGATATTTAATTGTTCGGCTGTGTAGAGGGAAAACCTCTTTAATAAATACTTGTTGATTGACGTTAGTTATCGTATACAAAGTTGCAATCACATGCTCACGGCTTTCGTTAGGTATGACCCCGGGGGAAGACTCCGTATATGAGTGGGGTGGGGATGCTCGTCGGAAATTTTGAATTAAACTCCTAAAGGAGACCGATCTGGGCGTGGCCCAAGCTTTTTTTGACCCCTAAAAGAGACCGTGTTAAAACACAGACAATATGTGTTTTTTATATTTTTTCGCTTGCAACCCTAAACGAGACCTTCACGGCTAAATATGATGGCGTTTTGCCCAGAACACCCTACGTGAGACCAAAATCCGAAATTTACACCCGTAAGCGAGACGACGAGCATCCCCACCCCTTTCATATGCGGATTCCTCCCCCTGGGGGTATGACTAAGTGAAAGCATGTACAAGGCGAGGTTGTTTATGAGTAGCAATCTGAGCTGAGCCTTTTATCATTGCCAAAGTCTTTAGCAAAGTCGTCGTCAGCTGTCCTGATGAGTGCGCGGTCGAAAGTTCGAGGACATGGAGTATCCGTACTTTCATAAAAGATTCTAGGGCACGTTTTGTCGTTATAACGAAATTTTTAGGGAGACCTTGTTCAGTACAGTCTTTTCCAGTGGAACGGAAATCGGTTTGTCCCTTTCTAAAGTGTTGCAACAAAGGGAGGAACAAAATTTACGTTTTTTACGATAATGGGAAGAACGTTCCTCTCCGTCGCAAATTTCTTTGACGATACCTCACACTTCATCAGCTAAGTTACCTACAAGTGGAACATACGTTAACAAATTTGAAAAATTTCACTGAGGACCGTACACACTGAGGGCCGGGGCTTCACCTGCAAGCGCAGCATTTGAAATAAACAACGAGTCCTTTATTGTTTTCGGGAATTACTTTAATTAACTCTCAAGCACGGTTTCTTCGTCAATTCTACCGTTTATAAATGGTCCGAATGAGCACTGAAGCACATTTCAGTCAATTCAGTATTACGGCGTAATCTGTGTGAAATCCTTCAACAGTAATGGCCACACTTTCCTTTAAGCTTTTGCTAACTATCGCAACGAAACCAGTGACTGTTCGAAGGTCATAATATCCACTCATTCATATACAAGTGGAATGGTAGCAAGTTTATGCTGTTTCAATCCATTCCTACCCGTGGAGGCGATGCGTTGTATCCATTTGTCATTT